CGGTCATACACTAAAATACGATATGAGCGATAGCATAATTGGGACATCCGAGAGGCCCGCTCCTTCTCTTCCTCGAATGTTCGAACTCAAGCCTTGGACGTTAATTTGATTATGACAACCATTCTGAAAATAGTATATCTGGCATTCTTTTCTTGTTCTCCGACTTCGTCCTCGGTTTTTCCAGACTTACACCCGACTTTATGGTCTTTTGTTCCCTTCTTTATGCGTGCCATATCGGCTGAAAACTTTGTACGGAATACAATCGGTCTGATCGGTAAACACACGGGTCCGACGCATTTAGACACAGTCACTGATACGTCGAATTTTCCTGCATGGAGCCACTACCCAAGGGCTTCCTTTAAGTTCGAGTCCGCCGCTGTACTTGCTTTCATTTTTGAGAAGATTCGTGACGTCCTTTGAGCAGTGTTTCTCCTCATTCCAGTGTCATACTTGTACTTGTCAACTCGGGCAAGCCAGTTGCCAGTTTGCTGTTTGCCAAATATAGTGAAATCTTGCTCCAGTATGCCCCTGGTGTGCACCCTAGTAAAATGAATACGCAACCGGCAAACATTTAAGCTGTTGCTCCTGTCCTCCGGTCATTGCTCAGGCATCCACCGTCACCAAATCCACTTTTTCGTTAACTGCTCTCTGTCGCCAAACTACTCCGGCGACCGCAGCGTACCTCCACGCCAGTTAGAGGCCTATGCAGGCCACCTGGGTGGACTTCCGGCTAATAGAACGTTTCCCTTTTGGTTCTGACCGTAAGCTATTTCCCCAGTCTAGAATACATTAAATCTGATTTGGTCCGATCATGGGTCTAATAAATGGTCGTCGCGCTTAATCCGAAGTCCAATCAACAGGGGACCACAGGATAGTAAGTTAAATACCGGAGAATGGAAATTTGGCCATAACGGGAAACCTGCAGGGAATGTGTGCTTATGAAGGCAACTATTCTCGTTGAAGCCATGTACACCGAAACGATTACACGTTTACTCCTTGCGGTGCACCTCCTCATGAAATAACTTTGAAAACATGAATTGGATAAAGGTCCTCTTTGAAATGTGCCAGAAACCCGTACAGTTTACAGGTTAACCCACTGTCTTCGAGGGCGACCTGTAAAACGTTGAAATAGTTTCAAAAAATTAGTAGTTCGTAGCTTTGAAAGACAAACACGCTCCGATAGGATTAAGTAGCGAAACAGAAACACCTACCTCAAACACTGCATCAGATCCGGAGGGCCGACGGGCTTGCTCCGGGTGGCGCGCAAAGGTGGGTAGTTCGGATTCTGGAAGGAAAGGCACGGTCGCGAGGTCACCCACGACCAGGACGTTGTTGCGCAAATCAATGCAACAACGGTGACGCTTAAGCATGTCCAGGCCGATCATTAGATCCATGGGCTGATTCTCCAGAACCACGAATGAGGACTGCAGAAAAGGAGAAAGAAAAAAGGGGCACGATAACAGTAGGGCAGGCGGGGAGTCGTATCTCCCGAGAAGCCCGGAGGTAACTTCGGCTGTCACTGAGACAAAAGAATTGGTATTGTGTGCAAAATGCCCACCTGACTTAGTGGGAATGTCGGTTTA